TGGAAAGGCCTTTTTACTCTTATCATCTTTTCCATTTCGATACGTCAAGTGAAACAATATGGAGAATTAGAGGCCAAAGGGTTTTTCAAGAATCTGATCAAACCGGCCTAGGCAGCTTAACCCTAAAATCCAAGCTGTATTGTATAAACTTTTTTTCTTCCCCTTAAATGTTAATGGGATGAGTTTCCAAATCAGTCCCAGCTACAATCTTATCATACTTTGGATGGTGACTTTACCCCAAAAAAAATGAAAAATCTTTTCTTGCTTCATTTTCAGTTAGTTCTACTTTATGCAAAGATATTTATTAGCCAGCCGTCCTTGTAGAATAAGGATCAAGTGTCGTTTCTTATTCTCCAGATATGCTTCCAAACCAAGACAATTTTGTTCCAGCAGCCCTTGAGAACGATCGGGTTGCTAGCTACTCGCGACTAGAGAAACTGACCTTGAAAGACATGAAATAGTCATCCCGTTTTATACTTATCAATTATCATGCACGAGTAAAATTTCTTGTGCCATTTCCTTAAATTATTCGAAAGAAAATAAAAAGCATTTAAATTGTTTTGAAATTAGCTAACAGAAAGGTCGGCTTAGAATTCATAATTGAATTAACAAAACTGATAACTTTTTTTTTTATGTGCGAATTTAAACAAAAGAAGATAAAAACCTTACCTTGATTATCCCTTACACATACAGACATATTTATTGTTTTTTTTTAAAGATAGTTTTTATTAATGATGAGCTGGAATGCCGTGGGGAGTCTTCAACGTTGAGATTTGGAGACTCCTGTTGGCATGGAAGCTATCATAAGAAGAGCCTGTTCTGAACAATTACAAAAAGAGTAGCTGCTCAAGGAGCACTTGGCAGCATCTCAACACGGATAATCTTAAAAGCATGTAGAGTTCTGGATAAATCCCGAGACATATTAATTGTTGAGCAAGAATTGATTTATGGGGTATTAGCATGTGACTTTAATGGAGCTTAATTGAGTGTGTAATATAATACACAATTAATGATCTTTATGCATATGCACACATGCAAATATTTTCAAATACTTTAACATATTTACATACTTATTTGATATATATATATATATATATATATCATTTGATGATCAAAACGTCTCGGTTTTCAATTATTAAATAGATTCTTTTTATGATAGTTTTTCTAGGGTAAATTTGGGTTCATACCTAGCCAAATCATGAGAACAAAATCGTCTTTAATTGCCTTAGATCACTTGATGAACTATGTTCCCAACCTTTTAAAGACATTACATCTATACTTTTAAAGTGATTTGATATTTCTTGCTGATTTGAAATTATCACCAAAAAATAAGGGTAAAAGCTCCAAGACTACAATCACGCTCACGTGAACAGGCATAAGCAATTACCTCAGGAAAAAGCAATGCTACAATATGGTATAGAAGTTTCCTAAATTAACCTGTGACGTGTATATGTGTAAGATGAACCAAATCCTCGATGGATTTGATTCTTTCAATATTAGAGGGCCCTAGCTAGTACATTTTCTCTTCTCTTGTACCCCTTTGTAAAAACTGATCTGTGGGAATGTAATGTTATTTTTTATATTATTTATAATATTAATTGGATTAAAGGTCTCCAATGGATGCCTTGAAGCAAGAATTAGTGAGATTGATAAATAAAAATTTAGTCAAAACTTTGATTAATTGATAGATCGTACCCCCATGGGATCGATAATATAAATAAATATATTTCCAATCAGAGTTGTTAAATAAAATAGGCCAAACCAAGTCACATGCAAACGAATGAAGGAAGACAAGAAAGACTGAGGAATGTTTCCTCAAAATGTCAACAACTACCACAAAATCCGCATTTCATATATACCTCCAATCCTTGCTCTATTATATTGTTCAAGTGGTGCGTTACAGAATGAAATTATGCCATTGTCCCTTTTCCCTTTCAAACCTCTCTCTCTCCCACATTCATTTTAATTAATTAATAGCAATAAATTAACTTGATTTCACCTACATCCTCTCCGGAATTAATTAGCGTTTTCATGTGGCAGGAAATATATATACATCGAGACATGAGCACCGTTAATTTGTTATACATTAATTGTTTGAAACTGTGTCCAGTAGACATAATGGTATAATATGTAAAAAAAATTAAATGTTAGCATTAATTATTATTTTTTGTGTCTACACAGACTCAAAGCTGAAGAATAAATGTCACCCACTTTAACATTTCCTTGAGATGTAACGTTGCTTTATCCATTTGAACTATTATGACTAACCACGCCATAAAGTTTGAAATAATTAAAGGCTGCAATATTTCAGGTAGTTGCTATATGATTTGGCTGATTAATTCTTTCTGTTATTGTATAAAAATATGATATATAATCCAGCCGAGGATTTATGAAAAAATGGTTTGCTTTTTCCTTTTTATTTAGATTTGTGCACATTTGTATATACCTACATATATATACACTATAATGCTTACTGATAATAGTCAAGGGTGACAATGATAGAATATCACTGGTGAAAAATGGCCACATATGTCCAAAAATAGAAAAAGAAAACGAGAATTAATAGATCATGGACCAAGCTAGTGAATTAATGCTGACCACAACTGCTTTTAGTGTCCCTAAGATTCAAGTAAGGCATTGTTGACAATGAGTATGTAGTAGTGGAAGATGAAAAATGAGAGTTGACTAGAATCCCGTGCCCACATGCAATTTTCTATACTTCCATTAGTACTATGAAATTCCTTATACACACTCCAATGGTCTAAGCTCATTCATCGTACGATTAGTTTAGATCAATTTTGTCGAGTTCAAGTCATCATGACACCTAGGTCCGCAATCAAATTTTTTTAGGTTGCTAGTTTATTAAATTATGAGGGTAACTACTCAGTGTTAGGGGTTTAATCCCACTCGATCAGCAAACAAGAATTAAAAGTAGCTACTCTGCTGATGGTTTTATTAGTTTGGACTCTAATTCTAGCTAAGGTTGGAGAGATTTGACAGCACATATAATTGTAGTCTCTATTCTTCTTTAGTTTATAGCTAGTGAGGATCCCTTTCCTCGTCTTCACCCCTGGATGTAAGTTAGTAAGCTGAATCGCAGTTATATATATATATATAGTTTGTGTAATCGGTGCTTTGAGCTTTTGTGTATCAGCTTCCTTTTCGTTCATCTTGCTGTCTGGTTGGCCACGCCAGGGTCTCTTTACAACAGTAACTTATCCTAAACTGCAATAAAAACACTGTGAGGGTAGGTGACAACGACTAGAAGACATTGATCAAATGAAACCCAAAGAACAGGTTACGGCTAAACAAAAACAATCTATTATCAAGAAAAGGCTAGGCAAATAATTAAACATATCTATACGCATCTGCTGTTAATCGAGGTTGCACATGAAAGTTACATCAATATTAAACTTTTCAAGTTACAAGAGACCTTGTCTGGTTCGGTAAAGTTCTTGTCAAAAGTCACTTGAAGTTAACTTCAAACTAGAAAGTTGAGGCTCTTTAAGTGTTAATTACATATTATTAAACAGAAGGGAAGATGTATAGTACTATATAGACTTTGGGCATGGGGCCAAACCAAAGAAATAAGTAAAGGGTGCCCCCGGCCCTTTGGAATGAAAAGTTTAGAAATGATACTTTGTAGATGAACAGAAAGAAAGGTTAAAAACTTTAAAAGTGAAAGACTGTTCATATATTTTCGATTTTGGATGAATAAACTGTCATCACTTTGGCAGTCACGGACTAAATGATTCCATAAAGTGAAAGAGAAGACAACAATTGCGACAAAAGTGCCACATGAGTTTCCCAATTATTACCATAACGAACAATTCTGGACGCTTTATCTGCTGCTGCTACCTGAATTACAGAAATTTTCTGACCAACACTCCCAGTGACCCGATACCACTGAGGACACTACCCTCCAAATTATGAATAATTCTTTTCTTTTTTACTGCCACAAAAAAAAAAAAAAAAGTTTATGCGTTTAATTAGCATGACATCTCAGCTGCTAAAAATTAAAACTTTATCTTGAAATTTTTTATTTTAAATTATGAAATTAAACGTATAAAATTTATGGAATAATATAAAATCATCTCTCATTTTTGTAACTCGAGATTACAGTTGTTATCACTAAAAGCAATGGATCGAGTCAACGTAAAGAGGAATGATGTCTTATTGTAAATACAATAAAACTTAGCCATCGGAATTAAAAAAGGAAAATAAAAGAATGGGGTGTGTCTATTAAAGCATTAATTAGGGGTTTTTTTTTTGTCTCTATTAATTACTAGTATAAAGTGTTGGGGTTAGGTATTAGGTGAAACAAATTCTCTTTGGTAATTATAAAGATATTGAAGAGCATCATCTGTCTCTCTCATTCTAAGATTGAATACTTAATAAAACTAAGTAAATGGAATAAAATAAAGAACAGAATGAAGAGGATGGAAATAAAATAATCATTAACTTGTCGAGTTCGTTGGAATGTAGTCAGCATGTTAAGATTCTTGAAGTCACTCTGAGGCCCCATGGTTTTGAGATTAATTCCTGCAATCAGGGCTTACTTCATCTTCTTTTTTTTCTCTGTCTTTGTTTGCTTATTGCTTCCGTATATTTTCATTTTGGTAATATTTTTTGTCATTAGCAAAAGATGCTACCAGTACTTTAAACAAAAGTAAAAAAAATATATAGTGAAACCAAAATTATACTACTTGATTAAAATTGACCAAACAACTTAAATATTTATTGTATTAATATCATTTTGCAGAAAAAAATATATATAGGTATTAAATCAAACATAATATTAGTAAAATCACCATTTTATTTTTATAGTCAAGGGTAAAATTTGTAATTTCTAACGTTTTAAAAATTACACGGCAAAAGTAACAATGAAATAAAATTTATGCTTTAACGGAATCTTCATGTTAAAAAAAAGATAATGAAAAGACTAGGAAATTTCCATGTAAGGTGACTCTGCATCCAAATGAAAATGTACTAGAGAATAGTTGTAGGGAAAAGAGAGAAAGAAGATTTTTTTTTTTTTTGTTTGCTTACCATCTCTGTTCAACGACTGGAGTATGCAAAGAAAATAACTTAATTGAATCTAAAGTAAACCTTAAAAACACCTTAGGAATGAAACCCTAGCTAATTCATGCCGTCAAATTCAAAACCAAGAAGAGTTTTTCCCTACATATTAACCTACAAAGCTAGCTTGCCTGCCTCAGCGCCTAGCTCGACAGCTGCTAGTCAATATTTAGAGCAGTTTTGCACTTCCAAATTGTTGATTTGCTTGAGCTGAATTCACTTCGGGGTCCAAAGAGCTAATATTAATCCCATGTGGTTCTCTCTGCGAAAAACCTCCACCCATGCTTCTTACCATTCCTCCAACACCTAGAAAATCCAAGGTTAATTTATCAGTTCCGCCTATGCTTGCGGCAAGATTTTCATGCAACTTGGCCTCATTTACGTTGCAAAAGTTGGCATTATTGCTCTGCTGAGCAGGAGTCATCCCACTTCCACTGAACCCTCCAAAGTTGCTATCTTGTCCATGACCCGCCCCGAAAATGGAAGAGTTGCCGTTTGCAAGAGAGTTCATTAGCCCTTGAAGATTGCTATCGTTCTCCATCTGTGATCTTAGGGTTTCACCTCCACCACCACCGCCGTAATTACTGCCGAAGTTAGCGGATAAAACTGGCCTATCGGATTTAGTCCCACTTGCTGAAGAATTCCCCAAGCCCCTTAGCAAAGAGGAGGTGTTGTTGCTTGTAGTTGAACCCATTTGAGCAGCTTTTTGCAGCAATGCGGTGGCTGACATATGTGGAGAAATGTTCTCATGTTGCATTGAAGTGCTATAAAGAGAGGAGAGTCCTGAACCGACCTGATCTCCCATGTTAGTAGAGAACATTGCTGTCCCTTGACCACCACCACCACCATTCCCACTGTTAAACTGATTAGGGCTTAAAAACCCGGAATTTGGTAAGTTGGCAGTTGAGGCACTGGCATTTTCACTGGTACTTATGCTGCTTGCAGCACTGTTATTGGGAAAGAAGCCCAAATTGAAAAGATTGGTCGATACGGGGGTATTGTTAGTATTGCCTTGAAGGTCAGGAAGCTGCATAAGCCCATGTAATGGTTTGTTTAGAAATGGTCCATGCCCATGGTGAGATTGATGGTCTTGATGATGAAAACCTTGGTTTGCATCAGGCATGAAAAATGCAGATGTTGGCATGTTTTGTAATGGCGAAGGATTTGATGGAGGGATGAGGTGCTCAAACTTTGCTGCTCCGGCGCTTCCCAACCGCAGCATGTTACTCGGTGGTTGATTCTGGTCTTGCAATGATGGAATTTGGGAACCCACTTGGGATAGTCCTAAACTCATGTGATTACTGCCAAATAGATGGCTACCCATTGTGCTTAAGTTGTTGGGGTGTCTAGCACTCTCTTGAGCCAGTGCATCGCAAAAAGCCCTGTGAGTGATAAAACTATCACGTCTGCAGCAAAGATCATGGAAAGAAAATTGTTAGTCAACCTTGGTATTCAAGGCCCAAAGTCAAAGAAAATCTAGCCATTGCTTGTTAAGAAATGAAAGTAGGATGGAATAAAGTTTGAACATAATAAGGTACTGTGACTTCTACTGGTTTAGGTTGACATGTTTGATGCATGAGGACGGGGGATCTTTAACTTGAAGATCATTTCCACTGGTTTCAACATCATGTATTTCTTTTATTTTTTCAATTGAAAGCTAAATAAGGAAAAGAGGGTATCTAGAAACAAGAAATCACAAGACCAAAAAATAACCCGAAAATAGTAAACTTCATCTCAATGTGAATCAATGGTGTTAAGGTGTTAAATATATTCTCCCAATCCTCAGAAGCGAAAGGATGAAAAAGAAAAGCTGGAACAAGTTAAATAGAATGAAGTGATGATTTTATGAAGATCTGACAAGAAGAGTAGAGCTGGAAACTGAGAAATAATTTCAGTTTCCTAAGAAAAATGAAAGAAGAGGAGAGGAGTACAAAAAAGAGCGGACAGAAATTCTTGGTTTAAGCTGGAAATGATCAATCAATTCAAAGTTCAACTACCATTTTGAGAACAAGTTGTTTAATAAATGAAGTGGGGAATCATTTCCAGGTTGATGAAAGACCAGAAATCCCAGAGACGCCTATAAATTTCTGGGACTGTCTGCAATAAATGGAAAAAACCCTGACCAGAAGTCTATCATTCATGCAAAGAATATTTTTCCATAACCATGAAAGCTCTTAATAAATGACAAACATTTTCAGAAGCCCAATGTTTCACCAATAGGACTTTCTCCCCAGATAAGTGCTGCACTAAGGAATGGAGAATTGTCCTCGAGCTGCTCAGCGATAGAGAGAGAAGAGCATCTTACTTTAACCCCACAACCCTAACGTTTTTTGTTGATAAGAAGGTGGTGGGCAAACAACGAAGAAAACAAAGGCTGTAAACATATACAAAACCCACATGACAACAAATCCAGTAACAATATCCTTCCTGACAACGTATAAATTAACAACACGTGAATAGGGAAGAGATGTAAGGCGGTGTTACCGAGGGAGACATAACAAAGTTAAAATTTTGTTTTACTTTTTCTCATTTCTCACTTTTTCTCTCCCTATCATTCAGTGTTAGAAGTAGTAATTTTTTAATTTTTTTTATTTTTTGCCAGGAATCCTCTTCAGCCATGGCAGTTTCGCTGATTATTATTCACGTGCAACCAGTCCTTTAAGAGTTTAAAGAGAAGAAGAAGAAGAGAGATCTAATCCATAGACAAGTAATCCAAAAAGGTCAAACAAAAGAACAGGCTTTTCCTCTTCCCAACTCCTAGTCCCCAAATCTTTCAAACACTTTTTTTTTTCGTTTGTCAACTTTCATCATAACGTAAGAAAAAAAAAGGGGAAAAAAAAGTAGTAATTATGGGAATGATTATGTATATGATTAATTACCTTGAGAAGAGAGTGCCACAGTCACATCTGTACTCTCTAGTCCCGCAGGTCTTTGAATGAGCTTTCCAATCAGATTGCACGGCATACCTCTTGGAGCACTTCTCACACTTCCATTTTTTCTCGCCATGTTTTCTTGAGTAGTGCTTTTTGATGCCTGTGAGATCACCTAGAGCCCTAGAGGGGTCATGGTGGACGCATGTGGGCTCAGGGCAGAGATAAACCTTCCTCTTCACTTCTTTTGTAGTCTTCTGCCTTAGCTTCCAAGGCAGGTTGTGTCCTCTTCTGTGGAGCTGTAAGTTTTGCTCCCTTTGGAACCCTTTGTTGCATACCTCACAAATGAACCTGTTTGTTGCCATTAGGGTCTTGGGAGATAGTGCTATCACTTCCGCATCTGGATCTGCTTTGTCCAGAAATAATGCCAAACGACAAATTATTAGAAAAATGGGGGGGAAAACAAAATAAAACGCAAGACTTAATTGGGGGGGAGAGAAAGAAGAAACCATCTCAAACAAAAACAATGTCCGGAATAAATTATATGATGAAACCTGACGAATTTCTAGATTAGGGTTCATTGGGTAATCTTTGTTTTCTGAATTAAAATAAATGAACAAGAACAAAAACCTCTTTTGTTATTGGCCTTACTCATCGGATACATGTGCTAAAAGCCTCAAAAGAAAAAAAAAATAACAGATGTATGTAAAGAGATACTTGCTTGGTGTTCCAGGCTGATTTCTCTTTTTCTTCTGAGGTGCAGTGGTTGGAGCAGTTGAGGAAGTGGGTGTGCTGGATGATTGTTGTTGTATCATCTGGGTTTGATTTTCTTCCCTGGTTCCAAAGAACGGTGTGGATGATGAGGCGGCGGCCATCTTCAAAGATAATATAACTGTTAATCGTTGCTTGCTTCTCTTGTTGTTAATTTCTTCGGGCTAGGCTTAGCTGCTACTTCTTCAGTTCTTCTTCTTCAACACCACCAAACCTAGAATTCAGAAATCACCCAAATTACCATAATCGGCATAAAATTTTCAGCTTTTCTCCTCTCTCAGGATTTGTAAAAGTTGAGTTAATAGAAAGAAAAGCAAAATAAAGGGTTGCTGCCATGGGGGGATGTTTTTACCACCCCTAGCTCTAGTTCCCCTTTGAAAATCATTTCAGAAACAATCCACTAAGAAACAAGAGGAAGAAAAACTACAGATAAAACCCACAAAATACCAAGAGAAAAGTATATAAGGAGACAGCTACAATCCGGAGTCGAAGAGAAAGAAAACAATCAAAAGTATAGGCCTCTCCTCTTTCTCAGCAATTGTTGTTTTTTGATTTATAAAATATGGCTAACTCTTAAGCTTACTCAATCATTTCATGTCATATATGCATAAACAAATACATACATGTCTATCCCCATATGCATACCCATCTCTCTCTCTCTCTCTCTCTTTCTCTGGTGTATTCTTATAGTATTTCTCAATACTTTCTGTTGTCGTAGTAGAATATAAGTTTTCCCTTTTCTTTTTCTTTTTTAACCTCACAAATTGTTTCAAGAAAAATGAGAGTAATTAAGGGGCGAAGGGGCGTTGCTGTCACTGTTCATGCAGCTCTCACGCAGCGAAATGTGTCGTTATGCGGCGATGCTTTGGGGGCCACCAACCTGTAGGCCTTACCCTCTGCCCATCTCTCCTTCTCTTATTTCGTATCTTCTTACTAGCATCAGGACAAGCCTCCCTTTCGTCATTCCATTGCCGCTCTCACACGGTCTTCATCCCATATATATTTTCACCTCTTTTCTATATTTTCTTACACCCTCCATTTTTTATGCTACATTTTGGACAATGATGCATTTCACAGCGCCATATTCTCTTCGTCAAATAACCTTGTTTATTAATTCGTGAGTTCTTTTTCATAAGCAACATAAAATTTAATTTGTTTTTTTCATTCATTCACATTCATTTCAATTTGTTTCAAATCTATTCATCTACCAATACACCTTAAAACATACATGAAATTTACCAATAATATATCATCAATATTTTAAATCAGAATGAAAATCAAATAGTGCAATAGACTAATAATGTAGCTTACACAACTTTTTTCGATGGCAATTTCATTCCATCTGTCATCATAAATAGTGCTCTTTTGACTCATCTAATAAATTAATTAGGCAGAGACATGCAAAGATGTTTTATTATTCATTAATCTGTTGATTAAATATATGAATCATTACTATCAGAAGTAATTAAGAGTAATTAATCTTGTGAGTTTGCGCTGAGTACATTCCTTAGTTGCGTGCCTGCGTTACAAGAAATTCATCACCAAAAATTACCTTCCATTGTTTTATTTTTCTCTCAGCCAATCAAAATATTTCATTGATAATATAATGGTAATTACAAAGGAGAAGATGCAATAGCATTCCAGCTAAGACAACATTCAAATGGCGAGCAAAACGCTTTTGCAATGAATGATGCTTACCGTGTTATTATTTAACACCGATAAAATCCAAAATCCCACTCTAATCATTTTAAAAAACATTTTGACTCCTCTTATTTTAAAATGATGTTTTTGATCTTTTAATTGTTAACATTATTAGTCAACTGTTAAAAAAAATTGAGACTCAATACCACATAATTATTTTAACACACAAATGCCCCTTATATCATTTTTTCAAATTAGGCATATCCTCTTTGGGAAAAAGAAAATTTGCTCATCCTCTTCTAGAAACCTTGATCAGAAAAAATTAAAGGAATTTTGTACTTGAAAAAGATAATTAATAGTTAAAAATAGGATTTTTGAACTCCTAAAAAGATAAAAAAATTAAAAAAATCACGTAAAAGAAGAAAACAAATGAAAGACCTTGGTGGATGTAGCTTATACGGGATTGATGTTAGTGAATCTTCTCCTTTTCAAATGGCAATGGTCAAGAAACATCAACAAATTTTTTTGTATTTCTTTTTTCCTAATTAAATCAAAATTCCTTTAGTTAAAAGAGCTAACGCTAAGAGAAAACGTAAAAGAAAAAAAAAGCAAAATCCAAAGAGAGAAAAGAAAAATCTTCAAGCAATAGGAAAAGGAAGTTGAAGAATGAATGTTAATTGTTATAAGATTCTTCAGGTGGATCAAAATGCAAAAGATGAAAATTTGAATAGGGATGTCAATGGGTACCTTATTAGAAGGTACTCATGGATATCTAACCCAATTATATAGGATTAGGGTACTTTATAATCAAGTTTGAAACAAGTTCGAATAATAATTTTACTATCTATATCGGATTCGGGTACCATCCCTTGGATACTTACTATCCGAACTCAATTATGTTAATATTCGGATTTAGGTGGATACCTACCCAAAACCCAAACCTGATACCCATTTATATAATATTTTATTAATATTTATATAATAGATAATAGATAATTAAATTAAATATGTAAAATTTTGTAGGTGTTTGTATTTTAACTTGGGTGAGGATGAGAAGTACTCCACATTTTTAGCAATTTATTAATAATTCATTTTGATAAAAATTGATCGTTATATTAATGATATATGATTTTTAGTCAAATTAATAATGTGATGTCATTATGATATTTAAATTAAAAAACTATTAGATTATTAGTTATGCTTAAATAATATGAATATCTTATCATTTAACAAGAAATATAATTATTTATATATATATATACTTTTATATAAACATATTTACTTTCTATTATATATTTTGTAAAAATTATAACTTATAAAATTGTTAGTTAAAATAAATATACCTTTATTTATATAAACTTATAATAATACATATACCTAAAAAGACCCTATGAGATTAAAATAGTTTTGCAACATTTTGTTTTCATGTAATTAAGGGCAAACCTATAGAGTCAATAAAATTAATTCATGAAAGTATGATTATTGATCAACTTGCACTATCATTTAATATATATACTTTATATATTGTATTAGTTTATAAGGAATATAATTACTATTATACATATACTTTTAATCAACTTTTGACTTGATGAGATGAGCTTTAAGGGTATGTTTATCAAGGCATGGACTGAGACGGGGTAATTTGGATAATAAAAGGGTGAATGTATAGCATTGGTTAAGGGGCACTAAGCAAGCAATTAAGAAATGGCAAAAAGAGGTTATTGGCGGCGTTGGTGATAGAATTCACAACCTGAAGCTTGATATCCAAACCTTGGTTGATGAACTACACCAGGAAGGCCACAATGCATAAAAACATTAATAGCTTTATAGGCTGAAAGGTGATGTATGGAAACTTTACAGGTTGAAGGAACATAGTTGAGAGCAAAAAGCCTATGTAAAATGTTTTCTTGATGGAAATAGAAACACTTGTTACTTCCACAGCATTGCTTCAGCTAGAAGGAGAATCAACCACATTGATAAAATTCTTAGCCATGGTGAAAAGCTAGTTGATCTAGTAACTATTAAAGAAGAGGTTGCCTAGCATTTTGAGAGGCTTTATGAGCAAAACCAATAGTTGAACTTCGAGGTTCTCCACTATGGTCTTATAAAGCTTAAAACTCAATCTTTTAGATCTCTTGAGGGTAAGTTCGCTATTGATAAAATTTGGGAAATTATTGATAGTTGCGACGGAACAAAGCCACTGGTTCGAATGATTTCACTTTCAATTTCATCAAAAATCAGTGAGATGTCATTAATGAGGATGTTATGAGGTTAGTGAATGATTTTTATGACTCCAAAACCATCGACAGAGAAATTAATGCTTCCATCATCACATTAGTTCCTAAAAACGAGAACCCCATTACTATAAATGATTACCAACCTATTAGCCTTATAGGTTGTCTGTATAAAATTATTGTGCAGATCCTTACTAGAAGATTGAAGGTTGTCATTGATGAGGTAGTGGGCATCAACCAATTCACTTTTATCCATGAGTGCCTACTTTTAGATAGCGCATTTATTACAAATGAAATGGTTCACACCATGAAAAAAGAATAGCAAAGGTGGTCTCATATTCAACATGGACTTCAAGAAAGCTTTTGATAGTGTTGCTTAGGAGTTCCTTAACTACGTCATAACCACAATGGGCTTTGCTTGCAGATGGCGTATGTGGATATGGGCTTGCATCTCTACTATCTCTGTCTCTGTTCTTGTTAATGGGTCCCTTATTGGAGATGTGGTGATGGGCAAAGGACTTAGGCAAGGTTGTCCCTTTTCTCAATTACTCTTCAACTTAGTGATGGAGGTTTTTAGCTTGATGATATACAAGACGATTGATAGTCAGCCTATGAAAGGTGTTGAGGTTGGTCGTTCAGGAGTTCATATCTCATATCTTCAAAACGTAGATGATATGATAATCTTTTCTAACCTAGACATCTGTTCCCTTATTAACACCAAACCTATCTTAAGGTGTTTTCAGGATATTTTGAGACTAAAAATTAATTTTTAAAAAAGTCAGCTTTATGATATGGGTGTTGACCAGAATGGTGTGGAAGCATAAACTGACCAATCAGCTACAAGGCAGGTAAACTTCCTTCTATCTACTTTGGCCTTCCTTTAGGATCTAGACAAAATTCTATTAGTCTGTGGCAATCAATTGTTCAACGGTTCGAGAGTAAATTGGCCTTATGGAAGGCCAAGTCTCTTTCAATGGGTGGGCACGTTACTCTCTTTAAATCAGTACTCAATAGTTTTCCAATTTTATACATGTCAATCTTTCAAATGTTAGCCAGTGTATGAGATTCCATCAATAAAATTTAGAGAAGATTTCTCTAAGGAGGGCTTATCTTTATTCGTAGACTTCATCACGTCTGGGATTCGATTTTCAATTATTGTGATTTGGGAGGTCTTGGTATTATTGTTGTTGACCCCAAAAATAGAGCACTCCTTAACAAATGGCTTTGGCATTTTGACAATGATTCGAGGAGCCTTTAAAAACCAGTGATTATGGAAAAAATTAGCAATGAGGAAAATATACACATCCCGAGGTCTACCTAGGGAAAAAAACCTCTTGTATGTGGAAAAATATTACTGATCCTTTTCATGGTAGTGGCAACTTTAGCTTTTTGGTTTTGGAAGGTATTGGCATTGCCATCAAGAATAGTGAGAGGGCAAGTTTTTGAGATGAAGAATGAATTGAAAGCCATATCCTTATGCATTCTTTTCTTACGATCTACATCTTTGCATGCAAAAAAAAAGGTAAGGTTGTTGGGTTTGGGCTTTGGGAGGGTGGTGAATGGAACTGGCATATTAACCTAAGGCAGAATATGTTGGTACTCCATCATTCAGATAATTTGGACTTTAGGAATGAGGTTATTTTTAAAGGTAGCGGGAGTCTGATCTTATTTTTTATTCAATGAAGACAAAGGTGGCTTGGTGAAGCAACGCAAAATGGCCAGAGATGAATCTAAGCATTGGT